CATTGTGGAGAATTCAAAAGTGAATGAGATATGCTCAGTAATTGTAATATAAGGCGGTTTGTAATCATGTGAGAGACAAAGTGCTCTAAAATCTCATAGGAGAGAGGTTGTTCCACCAGGACCGCTTTGATTCTGTCTGCGGCGGGAATAAGGGAGACACTGTTGCACTGCTTGTGAGGCTTCGGAATAAGGGAGACACTGTTGCACTGCTTGTGAGGCTTCGGAATAAGGGAGACACTGTTGCACTGCTTGTGAGGCTTCGGAATAAGGGAGACACTGTTGCACTGCTTGTGAGGCTTCGGAATAAGGGAGACACTGTTGCACTGCTTGTGAGGCTTCGGAATAAGGGAGACACTGTTGCACTGCTTGTGAGGCTTCGGAATAAGGGAGACACTGTTGCACTGCTTGTGAGGCTTCGGAATAAGGGAGACACTGTTGCACTGCTTGTGAGGCTTCGGAATAAGGGAGACACTGTTGCACTGCTTGTGAGGCTTCGGAATAAGGGAGACACTGTTGCACTGCTTGTGAGGCTTCGGAATAAGGGAGACACTGTTGCACTGCTTGTGAGGCTTCGGAATAAGGGAGACACTGTTGCACTGCTTGTGAGGCTTCAGAATAAGGGAGACACTGTTGCACTGCTTGTGAGGCTTCTGCTGCCGTTTCCTGGTGAGGCTTGTACTGCCCAGCCTTTCTCACTGCATCACTCGGTAACCCACTGCAAGCCACGCAAGAGACCAGGCCCAAAAGTAATAGCAACTAATACTGTTTAAAGTTCATTCTGTGTGCCTGTTCTGAGTGCAAAACGTATGCTAACTCACTGAATCCTTCCAACATTCCTGTGGAGCAGGTACTGTTATTAAACAGAGTTGGAATTCAAACTCAGGCGGTCTGGATCCCTTGTTTAGGATCATAGCTACCACGACCACTGCATTATCCTGTAATTAGGACTGCTTTTCACTCCTCCAAAGAGGTCGTCATAACTAATTCCATCATGTGGGAAGCCCTTTCAGATGATGGCTTTTAGAAATCTTGGTCCTTGGTGATGTTTCTAGTCCCCCAGCCCCATGCTCCTCAAGGCAATAGATTTTATCACTTGCTGTGCCTTTCTGCAGTCATACCAAGTGCTCCCCTCATTCATTATAGATTTAACCACCTCACATGTCTTTTTTCCACTAGTGTAAATCACTTCTGTCTATCCCAGTGCCCATATAATTCACACAATTATCATAGTAATAGATAATTGGGTTTCCTGAATTCCTTGACTTTCTTATTTCCAGTGAGTTTTCATCCTGTTTTAGACTTTATCAGTAACTGTATCACCTCTCAGATTTCAAGTTCAGGCATCTCGTTCTCTGAACACCACTACTTCTCTCTTCCCAGCTCATTCCCTCTGATTTTTCTAAGTCCAGCAGTTTTGGGACAGCTGTTGGGACCTCCCGTGCACTGAGTCAAAACTTCTCTCCCGTCCATCATTCTCCTCATGTTTTCATTTTCCTGAACCCACCTTAGATTCCGTGGCCTGTCCTAACCGCTTCCTATTAACTCTTGTCATATTTACTTGGTTAAAGCCAACACTCTACCTACTGTGTACCGACACCAGCCAGATGAGACTTGAGGAAAACACTGTTCTGACTGGTTTCATTTCCAGTGCTCGTGACCACAGGTCTGAAGTGCTGCTACAGTTGTAGTGGATTCACTCTCTGCCGTCAGCCTTGACAAGCCCTCCCTTTTCAGTTGGTGCTGAATATTATTTTGCTAAAACAAAAAACAAAGAACAAAGAAAGCAAAATCAGCAGAAAATAGAACTTGATACTTTCTTATCAGCAAATCTACAAACCTGGAAAAGCAATTCTAGTAGAATGGTGGGAGCACAAGCCACCTTTTCAAGGACTGAAATGTGAATGGGTCACAGCAACTGTAGAGACTGTGGCATTATCCCAGACGTGTCCCTGGAACACTGTCTCTGTTAAAGGAACCTCACCCAATGACAGGTTTTGTGGCTAAGTAAATTTGAGAAATGACGAAAACTGTGTACCATGTATATATATGGAAAGGAAGTTCACATCTGCTGGCGGAGATTTTACTAAAGCGTTAGTTTTCAAACTTGGGCCCATTTCACGGTCACCTGGAGGGCTTGCTTCCTCCAGAGGTTCTGATTTCATAGGTCTCCGTGGCTTCTGAAAATTTGCATAATAACAAATTTTTAGGTGACTGAGATGCTGCCAGTCCAGGGAATTGAGGAATTCTGTTTTGAAAGCCACTTAAGAATTCACTTCCAAGAGTGGCAGGTAAGGTTTAGGATTTTGAGCAACCTGGAAAATAGCCAGTGTGGGTAACATAGCGAGAAATAAGGAGCTTTGGTAGTGATTCAGCATTAGTTTACAGTGGACCCAAGCAGCTGGTTTAAGTGATTGGTCTGTCTCTACCAGTCTGGCCTAAGAGCAGGAGCAGAACTACCAGCAGTTAGTACAGAACTTTGAGCGAATCCTCCTGGCTGCTCCTGTCAGATACCTGTGAGTTACCATCAAGTACTCCCTCTTGCTTTGCATTACCATGATGAGTGCCAGGACAGGGACAGTTACTTTGATCTGTCAGCAGTCCATCTTTTTAAAATTTGTATGTTTATTGTTGTAATTTATTATTCACTGATTGTTCTTAGTTTAAAAATTTGTATGTGGTAGTTCATAGGGGTTTTGAAATGGAAAGACTAAATGTTCATGGCATTTAGGATCCTGAACCAGCTCTGTCAGTTACAGTTAATAATTCTTTGGCTTTGGGCAAATGACTACACGTCTCTTGTTTTCTTGTTTGGGAATTTTTCACATAGAAGAATAAGAAACTTCAGTTTTCCCTTTATGAATGTAGTTGTAAAGCCACAGAATCTTTTAAAATTACATTTTAGGAGAATTATTAGTTTTCTGCCTAAGGATAGTCCCATGTGGTTCTTTTTAAGTAGCTAAATATTTATTGCAGAAGCTGGGGCCGCACAGGGTTTATGGTATTTCTGACAGTAAGTTGCATTACCATTCTTGGGTGTCTGCACTTCTCTGGCTTTGCCTCTGAAATGTTTTTATAATGAGATTGCGTCTTAGCCTAGCCTTGCGGTGACAGCCATTTCTGCCTCGATGACTTTAGAGTGGGATCTGTACTGAGCCTGCAGTAGGAAGGAGCCACAAGAAATGTTGTTTTGAAACATGCTTGGTGCATGATAGGAGAGAAAGAGGGCAAGTCCCTTTTGCTGTCCTCCTGTACCCGCTTCAGTGAGCAGGTGAGATGGAGAGGGATGCTGCTTGTCCTCCTCTGATTTCTCAAATTTCTGTCGAGCTATTTGAAGCTAGATACTGTGTTCTTTTCACAGTGTTAAAACTGGTTATTCTTTAAAATAATATAATTTTGGAAACTTGTGGACTTGTTTTTTATAGCTTTACTGAGAAGTAATTATAAGAACTTGTACATACATAAAGTGCCTAATTTGATGGATTTCACATATGTGAAGCCATCACTCCAGTAAGAAGAGAGCACAGTTTCATCACACCCAAGAATTTTCTTGTGTCCCTTTGTAATGCATCCATTTGATTTGCTTTCCATCGCTGTAGATATGTTTACATTTCTAAAAAATTTAAATAACTAGAATCATACAATATGTACTTTTGGGGGTAGGTGTCTGACTTTTGTAAGTCAGCCTAATTATCTTGAGGTTTATTTTTGTAGTTGCTTGCATCAATAGTTCCTTTTTATTGCTGATGAGTCTCCTGTTTGGAGAGTTAAAAATGTATCCATTTGTCTGTTATGGATGTTTGTTTTTTCCCAGTTTGTGGAGGTATTATCAGTACAGCTGCTGTGAACATTTGTGTACACATCTGAGTGTGGACATGTGCTTTTATTTTTCTTGGGTAGATACTAAGAAATGGGATGGCAGGGCCATATGGTAGGTGTATGTTTAACTTTTAAGAGACTACCGACTCCGTTCCAAAGTGGTTTTTTCATTTTACATTCTTGAGAGTTCCAGTTGTCCCACATTCTCACTAATACATGATGTAGTCAGTCTCTCTATTTTTATTGACTCTAGTGGTATCTATGCAGTGGGGGTCTCAGTGTTAATTTGCATTTTCCATATGACTAATGATCTCGGGCTGCATGTTTGGTAAAGTGGCTATAAAATTTTCTGCTCATTCTTTAAGCAGTTTTTTGTCTTTATTATAATTGAGTTTTAAGAAATTTTTGTACATTCTGGATTCAGGCTTTTTCAAGTTCTCATATGTTTTGCAAATACTTTGTATGAGTTGGTAGCTTGCCTTTTCATATTTTAAGTTTTTGAAGAGCAATACCTTTTAATTTTGATGACGACCACTATCAGATTATCTTTGTTTTCTGTATGCTCTTGTGTTATTTGAGTTCTGCATTGTTTCATTTCTTTGATTTGTCTAAAAAGTCAAATACCTCAGATTCTCATTTTTTAGCCATTGACGGGGAAAAGGCATAGGAGGCAACTTACAGAGCTAGAGTTGTATTTGCCTTATATTTTTGTTACTGTTGTTATACTTTACTAGCAAATTGTTTATGATTCTAGTAATTTTTGTTTGTTCTTTTTGGTTGATTTTCGAGGATTTGTGGAATTGCTCCTGGCTAGTTCACTCTGTTTATGGGGCGAGGTAACGGAGGTTCGCAAAGGTTACAAGGTTACATGGCTTTGCTAAGGGCCTGCAATCTTAATTGTTCCAAGACAAGAAACCCCAGGTCCTCTGAATCCCATCTCACTTTTGTTTCCCTGTGAGGCGCTGTTCTCTGTGCTGCTGCTGATGTTACTGTAACACACTCGAGTAAATTGGGTTCGTTTTTTGTACCTTCCGTTCCCACTATAATAAACACCCTCATTGAAAGCAATATGATTACAATTAAGTAGGTTAGTTTTCTGAGAGATCCTATTTTTCCTTTACATTTCATTGAGTGAAGATGTTGATTTTTAACACTTTTTTTTTTTTTTTTAATTCTTTCCAAAGGTCTGTAAACAGATTTGGCTAGGATTATTTGATGATAGATCTTCAGCAATTCCAGACTTCAGGGATCCACAAAAAGTGAAAGAGTTTCTACAAGAAAAATATGAAAAGAAAAGATGGTGAGTGAATAGTTTGTATTTAGAACAAAGGTTTCCCGAATCACATTAATTATGGGTAAGATTAGTCTGACATAAGAAAGAAAGGATGGGAGGGAGGGAGGAAGGAAGGAAATTGGCAGGTTAGGTAGATTGCAGAAAGAAGTAGGCAGGTAGACAGATACCCATTATACTTTGGCTTTTATTGGATTTGGTTTCCAAAAACCTTTACTTCTACTTTATCTTAACTCAGCAGCCTGTTCCTTATAATTACCAGGCCTCCTGTTTTTGAAAAGTTAGGGATCCTTCGTTTGAGTCCTTCTCCAGCCCTGTTAGCTTCTTTAGACATTTTTAGCCTTAGAAAGCCTCCTTTCTTAAATCTTTATTCATTTAGCAAGTATTTATTTAGTATCTTCTACATACTAGGCATTATGCTAACGAAGCTCTGGTGTTGTGCACTCACAATCCATCCACTTACCTACATCTTGCAGTAAGTCTTTGCTCAAACATCCCTCACTTCCCATCCAAGAAATCATTTTACTGCCTGGTTAAGAAGGGAGCGTTTATACTCCCCTAACTAAATCTATCATATGGTAATTTTAAAAATAAATAAAAGAGGTTGGACATGTGGCTAGTAAGCCTTTTAAAGTAGAACTGGAGTGTGCTCCGAGCTAGTGTTTAACTACTTAGGGCCCTTAATTTTTAGCTGTATGAGCACAGCTTAAGTCAGTTTACTGAGGCTCATTAGGAATGAATTCTTAGTTTCTTTATCAATATTCAGTAGTGTATATTTCTTACTGGGGGCATAAGGAGATGAAGGAGAGTCACAAACGGAATAGCTAATGAGGAAGTAAACTGCCTGCTATTTTCCGGAGGAGCTGTATTTTAGCCCAGAGGACGATGTAGTCAGGTGCCTGTTTTGGTCCTTAGGGAATACTTGCTATGGTTCACAGGTGAGCTGCCTCTAGCTGTGTTCTTTGAGCACATTAGAAAGAAGTAGCTCTGATTTTTATGCTCTGTGGACTTTATATTCTTACCCTTCTCTTGAGACTGCATTTTGCAAGGCAAGATTAGCCTGGGCTATATTCAGCAACACTAGATACCATTAGGTGTGACTATAGATAAAACATACCAGCAACATTTTAGTTTGAGAAAGAGGAAAATTTTAGAAAGTGGGGTGACAGTAACAACATGGTGTCATAATGGATTCTTTTAAAGTGACATGTATAATTACCTTTTTACCATTTTAATTATTGTCCTAGGCCTTCCACCCCTTAGTTAAGACTTTTTTTCGTGTATAACCATGGGCAATTTTTTACTTTCCTAGCAGTTTTACTTTTACCAACTCAGAATATTAGTTTGAATAGTACATGCTGAAATTTGAGATAGTTTAGCCTCAGTTAGCAAGAGAAGTTTGTGTAAGAGTTGAGAGAAATAAAACTATATTTCCCCAGATTTATTATAATAATAGTAAACAATAATAAAATTTATCCATTCCACCCATAGTCCAAGTGACTATAAACCTCAAGTAATTATAGTCTATATTATTTTTTCTGCCCTGAGAAACAGGGTAGTAGTAACAGGATTAACAACAAATGAGAATTTTAATTGCCAGGTGTGAAGGAGGGCATGACCATTCAGGAGGGCCAGGACCTGTGCATTTTAAACCCATGCTCCTGCACACCTGTGACTTGTAACTGGAGAGAAGAACAGTTGATTTGTATAAGGTATAGGAACTCTCCAAATGCACACTCCTTAAAAATCCCTCCTTTGAGCAACTCTTCTTAAAACAATGAGACTGTTGTCATTTAAAGGGATTTTGATTTTCAAATTTACTTTCTGTGTTATACAAGTTTAGCTTAGTCAGATGAGTCTTTTGAACTAAGTACTGTTATCTGGTTTTATCCTTTGATAAGATGTGGCTGTACTCAAAAGTTGGTATCATCAGTGGTATGCCAAATTATAGGAAAGAACTACTTCCCGTATTCATTGTCACATTCCATTGTTTGTGATTAGTATGTAATTTGATAGTAGCTAACACTTAGGTAGCTAACACCTGTGCCAGGAACTCTTCTAGGTACTTTACAAATGATAACTCGTTTACACTTCATAGCAACTGTATCTTCATTTTATAGATGAAAAATTGTAGGCACCAAGAGCTGAAGTAGTCTGCCTTAGGCTTCACAGCTATTGAGTGGGGGAGTTGGGATTTGAATTGTCTCTGGAATAGATAGTTGCTCTTTACCGTTCTGTTTTCCTATTTTCTCCATCTACTTGTAAAGAGGGTTGGAGAGAAAGGAGAAAACCCAGAAATACCAAGAGCGAGAGCTCTCCCATAATCCCAGCCCTAGAGATGAGCATCACCGGTGTTCGGGCAGCATATTCTTTACTGCTTTCTTTTCTTCCTTTACCCCCCCCC